TGGGACATCCCCACAATCTGGGCGCGAACGGGCCCGCGCAATACCCCCCCCCATGGTGCCGCTCCTCCCTTCCCAGGGGGTCGAAAACCAAACCAGCGCCTCGCCTTAGATATCCACATAACCTGCTACGAAACCACAGGATAATGGCCACGCGAACAGGCACACCGCTTGGTACATCCCCACATACTGGGCGCGAACGGGCCCGTGCAATACCCCCATGGCGCCCCCCTCCCTGGGGGTGCGAAAACCAGCGCCTAGTCCTCATAAACTGAGCACAGAATAATGGCCACGCGAACAGGCACACCGCTTGAGACAACCTCAAAATCTCGGCGCGAACGGGCCCGTGCAATACCCCCCTGGCGCCCCCCTCCCTGGGAGTCCGAAAACCAGCGCCTCGCCCGAGACATCAACAACAACAACAACAACAACAACATCATCATCATCAGCAGCAGCAGCAGCAGCATCATTATTATTATCATCATCATCACCACCACCACCACCACCATCATCATCATCATCGTCATCATCATCATCATCATCATCATCATCATCATCATCATCACCACCATCATCACCATCATCGTCATCATCACCACCACCATCATCATCATCACCATCATCAGCAGCAGCATCAGCATCGGCAGCATCAGCATCAGCATCATCATCAGCATCGTCATCATCATCATCATCATCATCATCATCATCATCATCATCATCATCTTCATCTGCATCTGCATCATCATCAGCATCAGCATCAAAAACAGCATCAGCATCAGCATCACCATCACCATCACCATCACCCCCATCATCATCATCATCATCATCATCAGCAGCAGCAGCAGCAGCAACAGCATCAGCATCAGCATCAGCATCAGCATCATCATCATCATCACAACCACCTCCAACAACACCACCATCAGCATCATCATCAACGGCATCATCAGTAGCATCATCATCAGCATCATCAGCATCATCACATTCATCATCAACAGTATCAGCATCACCACCAACACCAACACCACAACCATCAGCATCATCAACACCATGATCAGAATCATCATCATCGTCATCGACACCATCATAATCCTCGTCCTCATCCTCATCCTCAACAGAAGATTTGCCATCATCATCACCATCATCAGCATCATTAGCATGATCATGTTCAACAGCATCATCAGCATCATCATCGTCAGCATCGACATCGTCGTCATCATCATTCGCATATTCATCATCATCGTCATCATCACCACCACCGCCATTGACATCATCATCCTCATTATCATCATCGTGATTATCATCGGCATCATTATCCGCATGATCTCCAGCTTCTTTGCTTCGTAAGGAAGAGGAGAAGGAGGTGGGTGTTGGTGCGTGCGTGCTCGGCGCGCTCGGAGTACCACCCTTGGGATACGGGGAAAACGAAGCACCAACAACAGAAAACGTGGAATCAAGAGTGAAGCCCCGCAGAGCACTTTCAAGAACGGGTTCCATCCAAAGGTGGTCCTCCATCCCTGCCCCCTACACCCCCGTTCCTCCTCTGCTCGCCTCCCTCGGCCCCCCTTGGGTGCGCCGAACAGGGGGGGCCTGGAGAAAAGGGGGAGGGGCCTTCATTCGGGGGCGCGCAGACGTGGATTAGCGATCCACGGATTTGGCGCGCGGTCGCCAAATCCATGGATCGGGGGAGGTGCCCTCCCCAAAATGCGGCCGGTGCCGCCTCGCTCGGCGGCGGAAATCCTCGATTCCCGATGACAACGGGACCCGTCGCCCCCCTTGATCCATGTTTGCGATCGCCTGATTCATGCTCCGAGGCATGTGCGCGGACGATGGGGGGCGAGGGGACGCGCTGAAAGAAGAAGACGGGGCCGTGACATCTGGGCAGATACAACGACTCCGGCCATGACATCCACCGCACCCCCCACCTCGAGTCATCACCCACATCTTGGCCGCCCCCTTCCCCCCCCTCCCTGTCCCTCGTCCTTCTGCTCCTGCTCCTCCTCCTGCTCTCCTCCTCCTCCTCCTCCTTTTCCTCCTCCTCCTCCTCCTCCTCCTCCTCTTCCTGCCACTCTCTCGCTCGTCACCTAATGGTCAAAGAGGTTCGAAGCCCTACCATTGGAAGAAGAGAGGGGGGCGAAGACGGTACCCCGAAACATGCACGTGCAGAGAAGAGGGGAAGGGTGGAATGAAGGGCTCAAGAGTCACACTCAACACGCCTGGCCAGAGAAGCTCGCGCCATGAACGCAGACGCAAGTCCAACCGCCGCAGCCGAGGGCTGGCCTTTAGCACCACTGGGGCGCGCATGCCCCCTGCTGTGAGAACATCTCCCACCAAAGATGCCAAGGCAGAAGCGCTCCTCCTCCCCCTCCTTCTCGTCCTCAACCCTCCCCCTGCCCGCACTGCCCCAGGAGCGCCTCTGGCGCTGCCCTCCCTCCGACAACCCGGCGCCGAGGCCCCCACCGCGGTGGGCTTTCAGCTCCCCGCGGAAGTTCAGCGACTCGCTCATGGCTGCGGCGGGTCGAATGGGCTGCTGCCTGCGGTGCATGGCCCGTGCCCCCTCCGCATCCGACCCGTCCTCCTCGCTCCTCCACCGCCTCCTCCAGCTCCTCCTCCGACTCCCCCCTCCTCCTTATCTGTCTCCTCCCTCCCTCCCTCCACGTACCCCTATCCCCCTCATCCTCCTCATCCCTCCCTGCTTCATTCCCGCCCTCCTTTCCTCCCGTCCTCCCTTCCTCCCTCACCGTTCTGCTCCTCCGTTCCTTCCTTGTACATAACTCCTCCGTGTCACACACACACCCCCTGATGCTTAAAAACTGGCAACAGCTTCGCAGCTGGAGGGCAGGTCGCTTTCAAATGTGGATCTCGCCGTAGCGCCTCGCGCGTTCGTTCAACACTTAACGGATTGAGGGCGGTTAGTTTTCAACATGTGGCTCTCGCGAGCGTCGCTCGCATTCGTAGTAAAAACTGTACGAGCTTCACGGCTTGAGGGCGGGCCGTTTTCAAAATGTGGCTCTCGCATTAGCGCCGCGCACATTAGTTCTAAAGAAGTAAGAAGTGCAAGAGTTTCACGGCTTGAGGGCGGCTCCGTTTCAAAATGTAGCTCTCACCTTAGCACTGCGCACACTCGTTTTAAAACATGTGCAAGAAAATATCCGCTCATGGTTAACGTTCCAGAAATGATGTTTGGGTGCGATTCAGGATTGTCAGGGCGCACAGGTTACGTGGAGTCGCGGTGCTCAAGTCCCAGGAATGGTGTTCTGGCACGATTAAGGATCGCCAAGACGTAGCAGTCAGGTAAATTCGTGGCGTTGAAGTCCTGAGAATGGTATTTTGGCACGCTTCAAAATGTTCACACCGTTGTCCCCAAACAGGGCAATTCCCGCAGTGGAAATGACCCCGTGCAGGGGCGTATGAAGACTGATCTTGGAGGGAGGGTGTACTACATCGTTGATGAGTCTTGGGTTTACTCTGGTCCTCCTCCTCCGCCTCCTCCTCCTCCTCCTCCTCCTGCTCCTCCTCCTATTCCTCCTGAGCATCTGCCCTCCATTCCTACCCTCCCCTTCCCTCCGCTCTCCCTCCCTCAATCCCTTCCCCCTCCCCCTCTCGAGGACACCGAAAAACTCCTCTTCCCGCGCGCGTCCCTGAATGTCGCGGTGTCCGCAATCGCGTATAGCCGCAAAGAACGATCAGGAGGTGAAGAAGACCCGTCACGCTGACGCTGCTCCTAATCCACCCTGCCCCATCCTCCAAGCTCAGACCATCATCATCATCATCATCATCATCATCATCATCATCAGCATCATCATCATCATCACCATCATCATCATGATCATCATCATCATCATCATCATCATCAGCATCATCATCATCATCAGCAGCAGCAGAAGCAGCAGCAGAAGCAGCAACAGCAGCAGCATCAGCATCAGCATCATCATCAGCCTCATCGAATCATCGAATCATCATCAGCATCGCCATCATCACCACCACCACCACGACAATCATCACAATAATCAGCATCTGCACCATCATCATCATCATCAGCAGCAACAGCAACAACAGCATCATCAGTATCAGCAACCTCATCATCAGCATCATCACCAGCATCACCATCATCAGCATCATCATCATCGTCATCATCAGCATCAACAATATCATCAGCATCGTCGTCGCCGCCGCCGCCCACATTATCATCAGCATCATCATCATCCTCATCAGCAGCAGCAGCAGCAGTATCATTATCAGCAGCATCATCATAATCATCATCATCAGTAGCATCACTATCATTACCAACATCAGCATCATCGTCGTCATGGTCAGCTTCATCTTAATACGCAGATTCGTACGCGTCGTCATGATCATCCTCATCCGACCACCAACACAATCAACATCACAGTGGCATGAATAATACTAGGCATCGTCGTCGTGACCACCATCATCATTGTAACCATCAGCATCGGCCTCAGCATCAAGAATCTCGTCATCACGACCACCACCACCACCAGCATAATCATCACTTTGGATCGCCAACCACTGAGATCGTCATCACGATCCCCGTCACCGATAACTCAGCGCCAGTCACATCGACCTCCTGCGATACGCATTATCACGTTCCCCCATGCACAGCATGGCATCCATGACCCATCGTACGTACCGCACATCATCCTGGTCAGCCTGGCCATCGTCCAATTCATCAGTCCCCGTGCAGCTAGACACGGGCGTGGCGCACACGGAAGCGAAGAGGGGGAACCACCACCACCCTCGCCAGCCCAACATCACCGGTCCACCATCAGCATCACCAGCCCACCATCAGCATCATCATCGGCAGCAGCACCCGCGTCCGTATACTTAACAGCGGCATCGCCGCAATCATCATCATCATCATCATCATCACCACCACCACCACCATCATCATCATCATCATCATAATCATCATCATCATCATCAGCAGCAGCATCATCATCAGCAGCAGCATCAGCATTCGCATCATCATCATTAGCATCATCAGCATCCGCATCATCAGCATCAGCATCATCGTCATCAGCAGCATCATCCTCCTCATCATCAGCACCCTCATCATTAGCAGCATCCTCATCCTCATCCCCATCCGCAGTCTTATCTTCATCTCCATCATCATCATCATCATCATCATCATCATCAACAACAGCATCAGCATCGTCAAAATTATTAACAGCAGCAGCATCATCACAGTCAGCATCATCATCATGACCAGCTGCATGATCATCATCATCATCAGCAGCAGCATCAGCATCAGCATCATCAACATCTGCATCAGCTTCATCATCAGCATCATGGTGATCATCATCACCATCGTCATCATCATCATCATCATCAGCATCAGCAGCAACAGCATCCTCATCACAGTCAACATCACCATCACCAGCATCATCATCTGCATCATCAGCACCATGATCATCATCATCTTCATCATCATCATCAGCAGCAGCAGCATCGTCATCATCGTCATCATCAGCATCAACCACTTCATCATAAGCATCATCAGCAACATCAGAGTCATCAGCATCAGCATCAGAAGCATCATCATCAGCATCATCGTAATCATCATCATCAGCATCAACATCAGCGTCATCAGCATGAGCATCATCAGCAGCATCATCGTCATCGTCATCGTCATCGTCATGAGGATCAGCAGCATCATCATTAGCATCAGCATCATCAGCATCAGCATTCTCATCATCAACATCAGCATCATCATAATTATCATCAAGATCGTCCTCATCATCATCAGCATCAGCATCAGCATCATCATCACCATCTGCATCATCATCTGCGTTATCATCATCAGCAGTATCAGCAGCATCGTCATCATCATCATGGCCAGCATCATCAGCATCATCATCAACAGATTCATAAGAATCATCATCATCGTCGGCACCATCATCATTGACATAAACGTCAGCATCGCCGTCGTCGTGATCGTCCCCATCCGCCTCTCTAGTTTAGTCGACGTCATCAGTATCATCAGAATAATCATCATCATCATCATCATCATCATCGTCATCATCATCGTCGTCATCGTCATCATCGTCATCGTCATCATCAGCAGCATCATCGTCGTCATCGTCGTCGTCTCCCGAAGGGGTCCAAGCCCTAAATGAACATCATCGTCCATCGTAGTCGGCAACACCATCATCATAGCATCAAGAATCGCCATCACCACCATCCTTGTCATCGCAATCGCCATCACCCTATCCATTCCTCCTATTATGACATATTGTTCCTCCAAGCTCGAAGCTGCAGGCATGACAATCCTTCTACCCTAATCCTACTCATCCTCCTCTGCTGACCTCTGCATCACCCCTTCAACATCCCTCATCCAACCCACGTCGTTTGCATCATCCACCGATCCCAGAATCCGTCCCTGTCCATGTTCATTACTCTACTCATCCTACCATCCCCCTCCTCGCCCGCCTCGCCACTGTCTGCATCATCCTCCTTGTCGTCCTCCTCTTGCTCGATCAGTTGGTCCTGCTCCGACTGCTCGTCTGTCTGACACGTCTCCACCTCCCAACTCCCCACTCCACGTCAACCTCCTCCGCATCGTCGTCATAGTCATCGGTGTCCGCATCATTATCAGCAACATGATCACCACCACCACCACCACCACAACCACCATCATCACCATCAGCAGCAAAATCATCCTCGTCATCATCATCATCATCATCAGCATCATCATCAAACACCATCATCACCATCATCATATTCGTGATCAGTACCGCCGCCACCATCACGATCGTCACCATCACCCTCATCATCACCACCGTCATCATCGTTGTCATTATCACTACCCCCACCACCATCATCATCATTGTCATCACCGTCACCATCAACACCTCCATCATCATCATCCTCATCATCATCAGCAGCATCATCATCAGCATCAGCATCGTCATAATCATCGTCATCGTCATCGTCATCGACATCGACATCATCATTATCACCAGCATCGTCGTCACTATCACCACCACCACCATGATCAGCAGCAGCAGCAGCAGCAGCGTGATACGCGTCATCATCCGACGCCATCATCCGCATCATCACCACCATCACCACCGTGGCCGTCACCATCGTTATCAGCACCGTCCGCGCATTCCGCCACTGCGCACGCCGCCACTGCGCCGTCTGCGCCTGCGCCTGCAAAGCCGCACCTTGCCCCCCCTCCCACCCGCACCCTTCCCGGCCTCCTCTGCGCCAAAACGGCTGCGAGATGTCCCCGAACACCGCCCCGGAGGCTGCCGTGTGCCTCCAGGATGCCCCAAGAGACGCCCGAAGAGGCCTCCGGCGAGGCCCGAGCAGGCCCAAACCATGAGAAGCACCAAGGGCATCAAGGTGGTTTGCTTCGACGGCCTTCTCCTCCTCCTATTCCTCATCCACCACCTCTTCCTCCCGCCACCTCCACCTCCTCCTGCTCATCCTCCATCATGCTCATCCTCCACCTCTCCTGGTCCTACCTCCTCCTCCTCCTCC